TATAAAAAAATATTATATATATATATATATATTTTAATTATAATATTATATAATTATATTAAATATATTTTTTTAAAATATTTTTATTAATAAAAATAAATAATAATTTAATTAATATTACGAAATATTATTTAAATTTAAAATTAAATATACATAATATATATATTTAAATTTAATATATATATATAATTAATTATTATTTAATATATTATATTTAATATATTATTTATATATATTATAATTTAATAAATATAAAATTAAAAATTATTATGATATTAATTATATATTTATAATAAATTTATTAATTAAAAATAATTTCAAATATTTTAAACATTATATTATGTAATATATAAATATTATTAAATTTTATAATTTTTTATGGATATTGCCAGGCCGGCTGCGACTTCATTGGACCTCACGATAAACATGATCAGAATTAAATTTGATTTTATATTCTAAAATATTCTAAATATGTTGCCTATGAAACAGATAACAACCTTGACAATTGGTTGAATGGTTGCGCCACCCCAAAAACAAGCATCACCGCACCCTATCAGCGGCGTCCACTGGTGTTCCCTGGTTGATCTGTTTTGACGTCGGCAACGCTTGGCAAACAGTAGATGTGATCCATCCCTGAAGGTAGTATTTCAATGTATTTGACAAGTAGTTCTGTGAATGTCTTTGTTCGCTTACCCATCTTACCCTCTGAAGGTCAATGCAATGGAAAATCCCTTACAAATGGAGGCTTACAAATGTTCTACAGGTGGCAAATCTGCGAATCAACGGTATCTGTCCGAACAGAACTGCCAGGCGCATCTTTTGTTCGAAATGCCGACTCCTCTGTGTGAGATCGAGACGTGGCTCTCAGGTTGAAGCTCACGGAACACCTAAGGCTGAGACGTCTAGGTTCTAAGGCGATTTAGTACCCTTCTGTGTTGCTTGCCACTTCAATGAGAGATGTAGTGGAAAGCCGGTTGCCCCTCACCACAAAGTACATTGATGAGAAACGGATCCTGGCGTATGCCAGCGCAACCCGGAGGCTCAATGAAGTCGACAAAGCCCAAAGAGGTGTCCGGCACGGTTGGCGGGACAAAGGAAGCATATTCGAAAGTTCGAAAGTCATATTACCTTGGTTTTGCTCAAAATGGCCCGAAACAAAAAAAAAAAACAGTAAATTCCCGAGTTCTGGGGGATTAACGACCCAGAAAATGCAGAAAATTACCGACTAAACAACTCGAAGTCGCAATGAGCATCCACAGTGAAATTATTGAAGATTTGTTGGGTGTCATTACCCTGAAAATACTCCCCGATGCCGAAGCATGCCGAAGCCATCTTCATTGGTGACGACCGGAACTGATGACGCTGGACCACCGACTTGTGGGCAATGGAGCCCACTGATGCAACCAGTCACAATGCCAGTATTACCTTCATTGCGGGGGTCATTCGCAAAAGTAAAAGCGAAGTCTCCAGGATGGCATCCTCGTAGTCGTTCCCGACGCGCCCGGTCAATCGCTTGTTTGATCTTGATCTTCTTCCAAAATTTCCGAGGAAAGCCTTGCGCAGGACATCGTAAAACAACCCTTTCAGCATCAACGTTCGGAAAACAAGCGGTCGCTCTGTAGTTGGACTTGCCAATTGAAACTCCCAGCATCAGCCCCTTTGTGGCCGAAACACTTTCACACAGTTTTTATGGGTACAGCTGTATAGCCATGGCAGTAAGCGCCAAAACTTGGGATACAACCCTTATAACTATTATGTCTATCTATATTATATATATATTATACATTATATTATATATATAGTATTATGTATATATATATATATAGTATTATGTATATATATATAGTATTGTATATATATATATGTATAGTATAGTATATATATATACGTTATATGATATATATATATATATATTATATACTACTATAATATATATGCATATATATATATATATTAAATTTTGATATAGTATTATATATATATGATACATATATATATATGATACATATATATATATATGATACATATATATATGATACATATATATATATAGATTATACATCATTATACAAGATTATAATATATATATGTATATCGATATATCCACTTACAACTGGAGCTGCACTCCCAAGTAGCATGTTTGAACCAATTTAGAGTTCCCATATGCAGCTGTTGTACCCAATGGACTCTCCACGGACGAGTTTTGGTGGACGGTTGGATCGTGCCTTCCTCTTCTGTGCCTTGTAGAAGTTCTGGGGTCTCTGGCACGTCCAACGTGGTCGTTGTGCTCGTGGTGGGGTCTGGGTTCCGTACCCAGGTGACATTCTTGTAAAGACTGTAGGAGACGAACCTTGGTTTATGGGACGGACCCTAAACCGGGGATGTCAATCTTTATAATGTGGTTAAAACAACAATAGACCATCCATTTGGGAATGGTTGATAGAACCTATTTATGGTGATTAGGGGGGCGGTTTATTATTGTCTTAACCACATTAATTTCTACTATCTATTAAAAAATAGACATGAGCCAAAGATATCTCAGATATTCCCAGGTAAGGGTCAAGGTGTCAAGGTGCCCAGGGTGAAGGTACCTTGATTTATAGATCCCCGCGTGTACCTGGGAGGGTCTTGCCTCCAAAATAGTCTGAATATATATATAATTAATAGTAAATTTCACATGGATCTGGCTCACTATCGCAAAGTTTTCCATTCTTCCATTTCAAAGCAATAGGAATAGGCTCCTTGAATTTTATAAAGCGCCATTGATTTTGGAATTTATTCCAGCGTTTCGGGCTAGATGAAATTCAGAGGCCTGACCCCATTATCGCCAGGGATCTTCTCGTCCTTCAAAGGCTCTGGCCGCCAGACGGATAACACTTCTGTATGGTTTCACCCTGTACCTGGGGGGTCAGCTTGAGATAAATAAAATCTAGCAAGTCTTGTTGATAAGATCATAGTTTCTGACCATAAATTGGCCAAAAAAAAACATCCCCCCAGGGCCCAGATTTCAGCCAAGAGCACTCAGTGCCGTCATGTGTGGCTTCATGTTGGCCTTGGAGGGATGCGAAGGCCTCCGAGGCCTGCGAGGCCTGCGAGGCCTGCGAGGCCTCAGGTGGCACATCACAGCTTCCGGAGCAGTCCTCCTCGGCTACGAATCCGAAGCCATGCGGCGCACCGCATCATGGCGCAATCTGAAACGAATTGATCACGGAAACAAAAATTATGTCAGGGTGGCTTGAGAGCACTGCAAAATCAGAATCATATAGCTATGGCCATTTACTAGTTATAACTGGTTATAAAATTATGGGATTATACATTCTATAAATGGGATTATTTCAGTACTCAACTGAGACTCAACTGGTAATTAAAGGGCCATTGTCTCCAAATCCTTCAGTAAAATCCGACATCTTCCAAGCCTTTCCGCTCCCATGAGCTCCGAGCGTGGTAGCATTGGGCCTGAATAAACCTGGCACAGTGCGGCCATTTCGCACTGGTCATGGAACAAAGATCTGTAGGTTTTTTAAATGGGGGATCCCCAAGTCGCCATGGGTTTCAATATTTTATAAATATCTTATATGTATATATATATATAATGGATTAAAATGGTCTAATTTGGATGATTTGGAGGCACCACCATTTTGGGAAAACTCGAAGATCTCAGCAAGAAACCTGTGGCTAATTATTGCCTGGAAGCTTTGAAAAACCAGAAGAATCTATGATTGGTTCTCCTACGGTAGTGAAGAATCCCTTCAAACCAAGAACGAAAATGGCTGGAGCTGGGTAAACCACAATGGCTATTTCTGGTTGGTTGGGGTTTCCATGTAACAATAATGAGACAGAAGATGGCCATGATTGAGAATCCACACTTTGTTCGTGGGGAAAATCCATGAAAATCCTACAAATGCTGGGGGTTCCAGCAATGTTTTTGTTGATCTTGATCTTATCGGCTTCCAGAAGCTCGAGTCAATCAGTGTCCTGATCTCCAGCGGTTAATCCCTTGGCTCCATCCCCATGAACTTTTGGATCTCTGGAAGAAACCCTTTTTCTGCAGCACCGTTTTGCAAAAAAGATCCGGCACAAACCTGTGCTGGCGGCTGTTAACAACTCTGTGTCCAGCCAAGAAACACGCTATCTTAGGTGAACTGTGTTGGTTGTATTCCCAGTGTACAGTATATCCATTTATTTATATAATACCCATTGAACGCATGAAATCAAAATAACCTGTTTGATGATTTTAAAGAGGTTCCTGTCCATAAGAAGTAACCATCATTTCCGGTGATCTCCTGGTGAGGTAGATCGAAACCTCCAACGCCACAGAAAATAATCCAAATAAAATGGTTGCTGAACAGAAAAACTCTGTTGGATGGTTCAGTGTCCTTCTACTTTTCTAAAAACTAGGACGGCTTAGTTGGGAGTGCATCCCAATTAGTAAGTGGCTAATAACCAGTCCTAAATCGCTTATAGATGGTCTCCAAGTTACATTGGGTGATGTAAGCAACAAAAACTGCCATGGTGGGTTTTTTCCGGCTCCATGGCTTGCTAGAAAATCCATCATATCCATCATTCAATTCGATGATTGTAGTGTGTTGTTCCCATTCAAAACTCCATTTTTTGACGACCAAAGGATGAAACTTTCATCCATCTGCCATCAAAATCTCCATATCCCAGTTGTCCCATGATTTTCCCCATGCTTTTCCTGTGATTTTCTCACATTTTCTCCATCTTTGCCTGTTATTTTCGCCATTTTCTCATGATTTTCCCGCGATTTTGTGTTCACGGCCATTTCGAGCCTTCGCCAAGGCCTTTTTTTCCGCCTTCGGCGGCAGACCTGAACAAGGAAAAGGCTGGTTATAACCATGATGATGAATTCGAAATATGGATAAATATGGTTATAATGATACTGAAAGAACCAGTATGATAATTATGAGATCAGGTTTATTACAATTATATATGGATATATAGCCTCTAACTGTTATTTGAATGGGTTATACCAGTTATAGCCCAACTAAGAGTGATAAATGGGTTCTATAATGATATAAACCTCATGGATATAACATGATGATTTAATGTTGATACATGTTTAGTTCATGATATATAACCTGAATTGTAGGATTATATATACGGATAATGGATATATGAGGTATAATGATATATATATATATATAACCTGATGATATAATTATGATATAACCTGATGTTATAATGGATATATATATATATAACTAACCTGATGATATAATGAGAACCCATGATGTATCATTCTAACCAACTGTTATAGCCCAACTAACAGTTATTTAAAAAAGGGTTTAGTTCATGATATATAACTATATAACCGCATATAACCCCAGTATATATTAAGTGGGATAAGTAGGGTTATTCCCACCTAGAAGTAGGATTATAAGCCACTTACGATTTGTAGGATGAGCCACCAAGTACGAACTCATATACCCATAACATTTTCCCATGGGCCCCAGTTCGTTGGCTAAGTTGGTTTATCAGTCCAATATCATGTGGGTTCATATGGGGGATAACCTTTTGTTAAAGAGGATTATAAATCAACAAACATAACTGGGGAGCACCATCCTGTATAAGTTTCCCTAACTTCAGCCCAATCTGGGGATAACTCCACCATGTTTCAGCCCCGATTCGCTTCGAGGTCGGCAGCTCTGCCTTTCTTCCGGCGCGGCGCAAGCGCAACGGCGCTTCTGGCGTGACGGCCGGGAACCTCGTGGTGCAGGACTCGGAGTGGGAGGCTGTATGGGAGGCTTTAAGGGATATATCATTGATATCATATCTGAAATTAGATTGTTATATATGTATATCAACGTAGATAATCATCTGAATAACTATGTGCATATGTGTATACTCATACAAAATATAAATGTATATAATAAGCAAAAATCGGGATGTACATGCAAAAAAAACACTTCAGCTGCAGGATCAATCATCCATGGAGTTACTTTCACCAAGAAACACAGCTTTTCTTGACATACCCTTCTGTAAACCAACATAAGTATAGAAAACCACTATTAGACTATTTTGATGGGTAAAATCATCTATAAATATCTATATATAAATCTATAAATGGACTATTTTCCATAGCTATGTGTGAGTTTGCCAGAGGGTAAGCTGACGGGTCAGAATGGAGATATTTTCCATACACTCCAAGTTCTGTCAGTTTTTATTTTATTTTACCAACAACGTCTATTCACGGAATGGTGATCTGGTTGGTGGTTTCAACCCCTCTGAAAAATATGAAAGTCAGTTGGGATTATTCTTCCCAATATATGGAAAAATAGAAAATGTTCCAAACCACCAACCAGTGATTGATGAACCAAAAGTATCCAAAAGTGATTTTGACTGGCAACAGCTTTTTGTTTAGCGGGCAAACTATTGGGATTTGAACGGGAAAAGGCAGAGGCAACCACAAAATTGTGGATATCATAGGTCAAACCAAACATTCCGGAATTGTGCAGATGAATATCCCAACATCATGAGTCGATGTCTGTCTTTTCACGTATAAATTTTAATGAGATCTGGAGTGTTCACCCTTTTAAGACACCTCCAAATATGATTATATATTTAAATATCCTAAACTCACTAGTCACTGGGTATTTTTCTTGGGCATCTTGGAACATGTTGTGGTAGCTGCCAATGAGCATCAGCCATCATTTCCATGACCCAGAACGGTGGATCACCAAACCATTAAATCATAGGAGAATGCATGGAAATGGGCGATAAGCCTTTCCTCTTTCACATATGAAAATCGATGTTCACCCAGTAAAAACCTAGCCATTTCAGATGAGAATATCCATGGGTGCTTTTTGACCCATCCCCAGCCGCGTTTCCCGGCTGCATTTGGTCCTTTGGGCGAAATACCTGGCGGTATTTAAGTCCCTCTGTTTTGTTTTTTTTGGGACCCCCAAAAAGAACTCCAAATACAACGTCAGAAGATGTTTGAAGCAGGATGGTTTGGAACACTACGTCTTCTAGGTTCTACCTTCATCGTTGGACATTTTGAAATGTGCGACATGCAGTGTTCATTCAATGCACCAGAAACATACGTTTGGATTTGCGAAAGGGTCGGCAAAAAAATAAAACATCCCTAAAAATCCCTAAAATACACAATGGTTTCCTGTCTTCTATTCATTTCCCAATGGAAACATCAACAACTTACCACACCCAGGGTTCAAATTCCCCTTCTACAGTACGCTGAAGGATGAAGAGCTACCTATGGCCGAGAACTCGCAAATTGTCAGTCTTCTTCAAATTCAGTACTTGGATGATACCCTAGTCGCCTTAATCAACTTAGACATGGTCAGTAAGCTTAGTATGCCCTTGTAACTGGTAAATAGTGGATTGCATACGAACTATTTACCAATTGCAGCACATTTCCATTGCAATGGAGTTTGACCATGAATTGGGGCATCTCTGTGGCAATACTTTTAGCTAAACGAAACTCCACTGTCCAGCCATCGAACCTGGAAACGCAAAGAAAAACCAATTCATAGATGACTCTCCTATTGAAAAAAGGCATTTTCCAGCCGACCATGTTTGATAATTGCGCCAGAAACTACTCAGCAAACCATGCGACCTTACCATCCTGCCTTTGCCGCAACGAAGACACGCTGAAACCTGCTCAACTGTGAGATCTGTGACCCCGTCAACGCTTTGAGCTTCGTCAAACGCGGTTTCATCATGAACCCGCCACAAGATGGGTCATGTTTTAAGTACAGTATTTGAAACCGTATCCATCTTGCCGGGTACGTATACTGGAGCCGCTGCCACAATTGTACATAACTATGTCACTATAAATATCGCAAATATTCAAGCATCTTCATTTTCACCATTTTTGTTTTGTGTGAAAAGGATAGCCAAAGGGGAAGGAACAAAAAAGACTGCCCTGTCCAAAAACTCTACAATACACTGAATACACCATTCAATATATGTATATATATGTATATATATGTATATATATGTATATATATACATTTTTTTATTATGTTTTAACCATTCTGTTGTATTAGTCCTTCCACTCAGAGTTTTGGTATCTTTCCAATTCTTCAATCTTACCGCCTCCTTGACTTCGACTTTGGGCAGAACTTCCGGCAGAACCTGGAAGCGAATTTCTGGAGTAGCTTTCCAAATATCTGATCCAATTGGGAGAGAATGTATATACGTGATTATCCACGAATATAGAGGCAATATGAATTATACATAATTATACTATCATCTGGAAATAGCCAAGCAGAAGCATGGGATTGCCTTTAAGAGTTCTGATTCAATCGCAACACTGGGTTACCAGTATCATCCAGTATCAATATATATATATTCCAACTGTTGGCCATGGGACATTATCTCATACGCAATTGCCTCATAATTCTTGCGTTTTTACGCACCAAAGTAAAAAACATATGTCCAGTTTCCCCAGTTCTGGTAAATACCCATTAAACGTACATCATTTTACAGATGGGCATTTCGATTTTAATGGAGGTACCCATTTCAAAATCATCCATTTTATGTTCGGATTCTGAAATAAACCATCCATTTGGATTTTCCATTAGAAACCAACCAGCTATTGGGGTACCCTCATGGTGAAACCGATGAAATCTCCACACCAAAAACATCGTGGATTGATCATCGGCACCTCCAGCGCTGTTTCTGGTGCCTGGGATCGCGTTTTTTCAAGATGGCTTGCAATCTTAGAGTTATGGCCATTTATAGTGATTATATAATGGGTAGTAATGGTTAACTATGGTTACACATGGTTAATAATGGCTAATAGTGATTAGTGGCTGATAATTATAATCTACAGTAATATAATGGTTATGAATAGTGGTTAGTAATGATCAAAAGGGGGCAGTGATTAATGATGGTTATAACTGCTTATTTCTATGGGATTATACATTCTATAAATGGGGTTTTGTTAGTACTTTATAACTGGTATTTCGGGCCATAACTGTAGGATGGCAATCTTTAAAGTTTCTGCAGAGACTTCATCAATATGACATCCGCGTACATCTTTTGTCGGGAATCGATCAATGGATTTATTATGAACGGATTGTTTTGTATTAACATATATATATATATTATATTTCTTAGTGCTCCAAATACCCATTGAGAAGGTGTTTAGACTCCAGAAAACAACTCCAAATACAGTCTCAGAAGGTGTTTGGAGCTGTAGGGATTACATTCTTGATCTCAATGGATTATATTGATATATTTTGATATATCTGGGTAAATTATAATTTCACTATATAACCTGAAATAAGATAAACAAGGCTATCTTGGGGATGATTCCCCTTAATTACTCACCATGATTATAGTGAGGTTGCAGTGAGGTCGTTATAATCCCAGATATTATGATTATCTGGGATGGAATGTGGAACATCTGCAGGATTTCCCACGGCTAAGGATCCCCAAATTGATCGCGCCTCCCCCGCAACGCGGTGAAGCACCGGCGCTTCGTTGTTCTCCGGTTTGAGGTCAGTCTCCTGGGGCACGGGAAGCATATTACAACCCAGCCAGTTGTATGTGGCTTGTTGGGGGTAATAATTAAAGCACATAATGTATATATATATATATACTTTTATCATCTTTTATCGCCTTATATGGATTAATTTCGTTATGAATCACTTAACAATTGGGATGCACGTCAGCATGAACCCTACTAACATCTTGAAACCCTACAACCATGGACCCTAAACCCCAATCCCTGAACCCTAAGAGCATTAGAAAACATCAATGGAAAACCCAACCAACAGAAGAGCTTGTGGCGTAGCTCATATATCCGCAACGTTCAAGGATCACGTAACACGAACGTTATTGCCCCAAAATACGCAAAAAACACTGAAGAATGCACGAAAACACACGGCCGTCAATAAGCCGTGGTCCAACTAGCCATCTCTATATTTGTTTTTGCCAGTGATCAATGCCATTGAAATACATGGGGTATATTAGGTCAACGTTGGATGGTCAAACGAGTGATGGACAGCATCAAAGCGACATTTCAGTATTAACAAACACTGTTAATGCCGAGAGAACAAAATAACATGGACTTGTGATCCACAAGCTAGTGCCCCCCTGTTATAAGTTGCTATATAACACCCATTAACTATATATATATAATAACTATATAATAACTAAATATAGATATATACACCATAAATCATAGTTATATAGCCTAAATATAACCAACTTGGCTAACTATGGAAAACACCACCTCGCAGAGACCATGAAAAGAAGGGCAGCATACATCAGCTGGTTTTAACCCACTGAAATGGATAATGTTACACACAGACCCCGAGGTTTGCCCAAGCCCAGGATAGCATAAATTACAAGGATTTGTTGTTCACAATATACATATCATATCAATTTTCCCACCCCCGTTAATCTTCTACATTCATTGAAGATCTTCAAAAAGGGTTTAATACATGTTGTTTATGTGGAGCATATTGATTATCATCATCATCATCATCATGCCCGGACGCTCGTTGCGAGTCCGGGCAAACCTCAGGGTCTTGCCGTAATATTAGTATATGTTGCTGATAAACAATCGAACAAGAATCATGACTATATACTATATACCAATATGTATCACTCTAGTTTATAATTAACCTAGATCCACCAGCTAGTTATAGATATGGTTTTTTCCCGGTGGTTTCAACCCCAAAAATCAGCTGGGAACATCCCGGGCCGCGGCTCGCGACGAAGCAGCGTCCTGTTCTTTCTTCCGGGCGGACCTGTTCTTTCGACCTCCGCCATGGCCCAGTTGTCACCATGGTTGTTGAAATATGATGATGTTCAGATAGCGATGTTTGTTGTAACCAGAACAGAATGAGCAGCGCAGAGTAGAGTAGAATAGAATAGAATAGAGTAGAATAGAATGTAGCAACTGGTTAGTACCAGTTGGTGGAAGCCTGTACGGAATAGAAAAAAATTGTGCATAGAATAGCAAACACTGATGATCGCTGATGGCTCCAGCCCCTGATCGCCCCGTCATTTGATTGGATTTATATAGATATAAAATCGTCTAAACACATTGAAACATATTATCATCATTGTTTATATATTATTGCAGACTACTATATATTATTGTATACTTTATATCTTATATATTGTTATATATTATTTTTTGTATACTATTATATGGTATCAAATACTATTATATATTTTGAAATATAATTAATTATTATTATGTAGTAAATCATGATATATCATAAAAAAAAATATTATTATATATTATGAAATATTACTATAGATTGTTACATATTATCAAATATTATTAAATTGTATAAAATATATATATATATATATATATTATGAAATATCATTAAATATATTATGAAATATTATTATATATTTTCAAATATATGATTATATATTTTCATATATGATTATATATTATCAAATATTATTAAATTACTATAATATTCTATATTATTAAAACATTATATATTATTATATACCCTTATATAATATTATATATTATAATATATTATAATATATTATTATATATTATTATATATTATAATATATTATTATATATTATTATATGTTATTATATATTATATATATATGATTATATATTATTATATATTATTAGATATTATTATATATTATTATATATAATTATATATTATTATATATTATTATATATTATTACATATTATTATACATTATTATTATTATATATTATTATATATTTTTTAAAATATTAAATATTATTAATTATTGTTATACTATTAAATATTATTACAATATTAACTATTATTATTTACTATTATATTATTATATTCTTATATCTTATTATATATTATCATATATTATTAAATATTACTATCTCGTATTGTATCTTAATATATTTTTTATTATATCTTATTAACTATTATTATGATATTATTGAATATTATCACATATTATCAAATATTTTGATATATCATTAAATATTACTATATATCATTAAATATTATAATATATTATTGAATATGATTAAATATTATGATATATTATTATTTATGATTACATATTATTATATATTATAAAACATTATTATATATTATTATATGATTATATATCATTCTATATTATACTATTCTTGAAGTCGCACCAGAACAACGTTTTACACGGACCATTTTGGAACCTCAACCGCAAGCCAGCTCTCAACCAGATCATTACTAAGGGGGCCACGGGAGAGGGGAAGTACCCAGTCCTGCCGGAATGCAGAACTCTCATCTTGAGATCATGGAATTCAATCGACAACATGGCTCAGACTCACTGGGGATGCAGCAATTTTTGTGCTGTGACTGTTGATCTGAATTGGGACCTGCCAAATCATGGCATTTCTCCATGAAAATGACGACCTTCCGGTACTCAACCATGGCTTGCTGGAAGATCACTGATTTATATGGATTTATAGAGTCCAATGGGAATGCTCAGTCATATACTGTAGAGGATTCAGGGATTTTTCCAGATGACCAGAGCTTAGATGTCGATTATTTGAATGGTTTTGTGGCCCCCCATTTTTTTCAAACCCCCGGTAGTGTACCTTGTGGTGACCAACTGCGTGATGATGGACTGAGGGCTTCTGCTGCCCGTAAGGCAACCACCTCCGACATGTGACCGCATCCCGCGATGGTGTAAGCGGTTTGGGGGCTGGGAAATCCCAATGAAAATTGAGGTTTTCATGAATCATATGTTTCAATGGCAAGGTCATAGGACAATCATGATACCCTCTGGTAAACTAACATAGCTATTGAAAATGCTATGTCCACACGGTGTAGGGATGGAGAACTTGGGGCCATAACCAGTATTTCGGGCCATAACTGTAGAAATCCGAAGTTTCAATTCTGGATCATCACTCCAAGTAGCTGGGAGAATGATATTAATGATACATGTTTGCGTGGAAGATATCCCTATAGTTACTAGTCAGGAACACGTACAACATATTTTTTCTGGAATATAAACTATAAACGAAAAACAACGTGTTTTGTCGTATTTTGTGAACGCAACACTTAAAACAACCTCTTTACATCTCTTTACTATATAGTCATTTGTCATGTCAGTTTAATTACTCCGGTATCTACAGTACTTGCAAGATCATTCAACGGTGAAACTAATTTCCAGGTGCGATTCTCCGAGGGTAAAAGATTGCAAAACTCGTCAAATCACCAGTAGATGTTCAAATTTCATCTCCGTTTTTGGATGTTTAAATCATGTTTAACTTATTTTAACTTTTTAGGCTGATGTCACCACAATTGTGTGTAAAATGTCCCAAGATCATCCCAAGATACTGCTTCGCAGCAGCATACAGCAGCTGTGCCACACCACTTCTGCCGTGGACATTTCTTTTGCGCATCTCAACTCTCGCTGATGTCAAACTGATGTCACGAATCTTTGAACAGATTCGGCATTCGGCAAGTGGAAATGTGGCCAGCTGCGATCATGACGTCTTGGCGCACCTTGCGAGCATCTCGAAGCAAAGGCGCTTCCAATCTTGTCACTTGCTCCGAGCTTTTTCGAACGTTTGTCTGCAGCCGCGCCCGTGGAAGCACCTCCACAGATAAACAAACTCAGCAAACTCCATGTGGAGTGTGTGTGAACTCGACCCGACGATATAAAGCCTCGCAGCGAACCTCTGGGAATGTAAGCTCGCAATGGAAAAACATCCCTTTATGATATTTACTTTAAAAAACAACAACATTGGGATTTTGCAGCTAGCCATGTCAAATTATCAATGAGTCTGACAGAATCTCTGACCGGCACATTTCAATGCCATGGGCCTATCATCATGCACCTATCGCATCCAAAAGACCCCGTATCCCCAGAATTGTCGGGTGAACCTCACATTACGTTATAGGTGACTCACCAACAACAAAAATGTTGGCATAGTTCTTTGTTTGGATTGTACTATCCATGAAAAACCTCATAATCTGGGGATATCCCATGATATCCCCTTTTTTCCTCAGATTCACCTATTTTTCCTGGTCAAAAGTTAACCCCCAATGTATCTTGGTATAACCTCCATTTTAGTTGGCCTATCACATTTATCACCATAAATCATATGTTCAAGAAGTGTAAGCCCCCATGAATCAGCAATTCTTCAAGGTGAAGGCACCACGAATAACTTAAATCATCTTAAATCCAAATTTGGACTGTGAAATCACATGTTGAATCTGGTTAAATCGCCATTTTCTTGGTGAGATCTTTTTGAACCATTTTTCACGGACGTCCCCCGCGAACTCCTGGACTGCTTTGGATCCCGGATCTCGGCCTTGGTCCAGCTCTTCCGATGCTTCCAGAGGTCGTAGAACTCCAAGGCCGCGACCAACGCACGGAGGCGACCTGCGGCTCGATCCCTTGGAAGTTTCCAGTCATGGGCCCCAGAAATCATGAAGAATCATGATGACTTATGGGAATCATTTTCGGAAAAAACGATGATCACCCCGTTTGGGTTTCACCCCCCAAACTGTTCAGTGTTTATGGGAATCACTTTCGGAAACTCGCAATGATATGTTTCCACCATGTTGATCACCGTAAATCCCCAAGTGTTTCATCCCCACCTGCTGCCAGCTGCTCCGCCCGCTCTGCCAGCGGGCTCTCTGGCGCGCCAGGCAGCCTCCAGGGATGCGCCCAGATGTTTGTTGGTTTATAAAGCCATTCACTGTAGATATATGTGGATGAATGATCAAGTTATGTCATAATTCACTTAAAATAAGTCACTAACCTGAGTCGTTTGGCTATATGTATATATTGGGATAGTTAACCTTTTTAACCAGTTTACTGATAATTCCAGATCTTCCAAATATATCTGTATCTCCCATAGACATCCATAGAAAAAACAAATTGGCAACGTGTGGAGCACCACCTTCTGGCAAATGGCGGTCCTAATGGATGTTCATCTTCAAAAAACAAACAAACATTGTCTAAAGAGATGTCTTAAGTGTTTATGAACCCACGATGTCACTATTCTAATTAGGTAAATCAGGGTACATCACGATCATCACAACATGATCATTTTTGTTTACCACAGTATGATAGACTATTTTGCAATTGGGTAACCCGGTAACTGCCGGTAACCCACTATGTCATACTATGTCACTATCTACCAGATCTACCATAGCCCACAGTGGCCTCGCAGCAGTGACCTCCCAAAGCTCGGCCTCAGCCTCAGCCTCAAGGTGATCTCGCATCAGAAAGGGGTGGGTAGATACATCTCCGGCTATGGTTTAGCAACTTAAAACCTGGGCACCAGCTGGCATGTTACCATTCTTAAAATCCACATCAACAACTGAAACATGATCTGCCGGAATCGAACATGGCAATGGAAAATCCACCATTGAGTTCGTTGATTTTCCCGGCGCAACTCTCCCACTTAGTTCGGGGATTTTCCAGCTGCGATTGGTTGCTGGAGGGTAAACCCATGGGGGTGATGAAATGGGGATGATTATCACATACGAATATTCGTATCAGCAAGACTAAGTGGTGGTGCAGGTTGCAGTAGGTTAGTTACAACATGGCTTGGATGATCCGAAAATCAAAAAAACTCATTTTAAAATCATATTTGTTTTTTCGCCAGAAAAGAGAAATAAAACATAAAAAATAGACAACAATAAACAGAAATAAAAAAAAATAGAAATAAAAAGAAATAAAAGGAAATAACAAAACATAAATATACATAAAAAGAAATAAATACACATAAAAAGAAATAAATATACATAACAAAAAAAAGTATATATATATATATAATAGAGAATTCAAATGATTTTACTTCATCCTGTTTAATCTGTTCAGGCTGAAGCCTATCAAAACTGATTTTGTTTTGACAACGCTGGCCACGCGGTCTGACAACAACTGACAAAAAAGGCACATCAGGAACCAATGTCGTTTTTGGTCACGTGTAGCAACGTACCTCATCGATCCATCAAAAAAAAAATCAGCACGATTCAGCATGGGTAGGGACAAGCAATGCAAAGGCCGGACCAAACATGGACGCAAGGAAAGGATTCATTCCTGGCATCATTGGGTCGACTTCTCGATGACGCTTGGCCGTACGGGCCAAAGGACCATTGGCTGAAGACGACATGGGTGAGCGCTGAAATTGAAATGAAAGCGCGCAACTGACCACACAAGACTCTGGGATCCAAAATGCCAAAGCGCAAAGAATCGTAGAGTTTTCCGCAGCACATCGCGCCAGGAACACCCTTGCAGCGCGTATATGATGTCCTTTTTTCTCGAAAAATAGACACATTTTTCATTATTTTTCATATTTTTACGTTTTTTCGTCAAAAGAAGGAAAAAGATAAAAAAGGAAAAACAAGAAAACAAAACATGTCACCGTTTTGCAATTTGTACCCAATCACCGCTATGCAATTCATGTTTGGAAAATTGTTCCCAGAAATCATGCTGTAGTGATCTGTAGTGACATTTTTTCACATGTTTATGGTTCATGTCGTTTTCACATGTTTATGGTTCATGTTGAACGGTCTGGAACGGTTTTGCCATTTTTTGTAGGGGTTTCTACTCAGTCACCGCTACCCAGTTCATGTTTGGAATATGGTGTCCTCCAATGTTCACATATTTTTATCATTCGTTGTGTGTTTTTTATTGTTTATTGCATTTCCTGGTGCCTTTTAATGTGTTATTTATTTTCATTTATGTTCATTTATGTTCAATTATTTTCATTTATTTTCATTTCTTCTTAATTATTTTCATTTCTTTTCATTTTTCTTCATGTCCTGCTTTTTTCTCTCTTGAAAAAACCATTACCAATCTAAACCACTTGCATGTCGACCCACGACTTAGTTCTGCTGATCGTAAGTGTTTTTTTTGCTTCTTTTTCTTTTGCTTTGCTGGGTCAGCCCCCTCTTCTGCCAAAGCCCCCTCTTCTGCGTCAGCTGCTCCTTTCCTTTTCCCTCTCTGTGGATTCATTTTTTGTAAAGCAATGGCAGCTTCAATTTCTTTCTCCCCTTGCTTTGGGGCCAGCTTTGCATCATCTTCAGCCTGGGGTCGGTTTTCTGGGGCTGCATCTGATTGTGGACCAGCTTCTGGGGGTGCTACTGGGGCTGCTTTTGGTGGGGGTGCCTGTCTAAGATGAGCTCGCCACGTCCAAAGGCCTCCCCCACACTGCCACCACCCTCCTGCACCCTGACTTCAACTCTCAGGCCCTTTATCTGGTGCATGTGAGCGCATATGGTGTCCACCAGGTTCATGAGCCCTTGCCTTCTTCCTCTCAAGGCCTTCATGGTAGTTGGCTGGCAAGGCTCGTAGTCCCCGCATGCCTTGATAAGGTGGGAAATAGAGGAATATGCTTGGATAAATTTTCCCTGCTCAGTGCCTCTGTGCCCAGTAGCCTTAACCTCCAGGGTGCCCCAGAGAGTTTCGTCTGCAGCCTCAGACAGGCCTGGGAGAATTGGATGGATGTAGGCTCTGCACCTCATCCCTTCCACCTCCAGGTGCTGCGTCCACCCCTTAAGCCAAGCAGGCAAACACCATCCAAGGGCTGTGCCCCAGCCCAGGTCGAATGCCATGGGCCATTGAAAAGGGGAGCTCAGGCAGTAGTCAAAGTCCAGCTTGATCGAAGATCATTTCTGGAGTCTTTGTTCCAAATTGGCCAAGCCACACCTCCTTCACCCCTACCTCTTTCAAAGAAGCTTGCGCTTGAGCAGTGCTGATCTTCAAGCTCCTTTTGGCCACCACCGAGCCATTGTAGGTGTTCTGGAAGGGGTGGGAGGTGGGTAGGGGTATCTCCACCCCATTGCGCCACAAGGAATTGCACACTCTGTGCTTAAATTCCTGGACCTCCACCTTCTCAGGGATGGGTACAAAGATGGCAATGGGTGTGTGGCAGAGCTGAAGATAGCCAGGCCTGCTGGCATATATCTTCAAAGGAGGGTTGCCACTAGATGCCAAGTACAAGCCCATGTAGCGGAGGTCTGCCACAGAACAAGGCAAGAAGAACATGTCGACATCCACCTTTCCCAGGGAGAAGTTGACGGGGTGGTCATCTGGCACACCGCCTTCCACCACTGCACCCGCACCCTGATGCCCTTCCTCCTCCTCTACCCCCTCAACCTTTTGGTGGGCTTTGCAATAGTTGGTGCCTTCCTGGTTGAAATTCTTGCACCTGCCAAGGGCTGAACAAGTGAAACATGATGTGTTAAGTACGGGTGAGAAGGAATGTGAAGTGACAAGTGCGGAAAGGTCAGTGGGGCTCACACCTTGCCTGTGCCGTGCAAAGGTCAAGGCTTCACACCGCAACTCTCCTGGCTCAGGCAAGGGGTGGATCTAGCCCAGTAGAAAGCAGTAGCAGGATGTAGTGGGTAGGCATTAGGTAGGAAATGGTAGGTGGGTAGCAGGAGGTAGCTAGTAGTAGGCAGGTGGTGGTAGGTAGGTGGTAGAATGTATGTAGGAAATGGTAAGTAGGAAAGTACTAGTAGTAGGAGTAGTAGTAGTAGTAGAAGTAGTAGTAGTAGTAGCAGTAGTGGTAGTAGCAGTAGTAATAGTAGTAGTAGTAGTCGTAGTAGTCGCAGTAGTAGTCGTCGTCGTAGAAGTAATAGTAGTAGCAGTAGTAGTAGTAGTAATAGTAGTAATAGTAGTAGTAGTAGTAGTGGTAGTAGTAGTAGCAGGAGTAGTAGTAGTAGTAGTAGTAGTAGTTGTAGTAGGAGTAATAGTAGCAGTAATAGTAGCAGTAGTAGTAGTAGTAGTGGCAGTAGCAGTAGTACTAGTACTAGTACTAGTACTAGTACTAGTAGTAGTAGTAGTAGTAGTAGTAGTACTAGTAGTACTAGTAGTAGTAGTAGTAGCAGTAGCAGTAGTAGTAGTAGTAGTAGGAGGAGGAGTCGTAGGAGTAGGAGTAGGAGTAGTAGTAGTAGTAGTTGTAGTAGTAGCAGTCGTAGTCCTAATCGTAAATCGTAGTCGTAGCAGTAGTAGTAGTAGGAGTAGTAGTAGCAGGAGTAGTAGTAGTAGTAGTAGTAGTTGTAGTAGGAGTAATAGTAGCAGTAATAGTAGCAGTAGTGGTAGTAGCAGTGGCAGTAGCAGTAGTACTAGTACTAGTACTAGTAGTAGTAGTAGTAGTAGTAGTACTAGTAGTACTAGTAGTAGTAGTAGTAGCAGTAGTAGTAGTAGGAGGAGGAGTCGTAGGAGTAGGAGTAGTAGTAGTAGTAGTTGTAGTAGTAGCAGTCGTAGTCCTAATCGTAAATCGTAGTCGTAGCAGTAGTAGTAGTAGGAGTAGTAGTAGTGGTAGGAGTGGTAGTGGTAGTAGTAGTAGTAGTAGTAGTAGTAGTAATAGTAGTAGTAGTAGTAATAGTAGTAGTAGTGGTAGTAGCAGTAGCAGTAGTACTAGTACTAGTACTAGTAGTAGTAGTAGTACTAGTAGTAGTAGTACTAGTAGTAGTAGTACTAGTAGTAGTAGTAGTAGTAGTAATATAAATTCACCCGTTGGCATACATGAAAGCAGTCCTGGAGGTGGTGTACCAGGGGGCCAACCCCTCACTTGTGCACCCGAAATTTCACTCACTTGCGCACCCTCACTCACTTGCGCACCCTCACTCACTTGCGCACCCACGCCCCAAATGTCACTCACTTGCGCACCCTCATCATCTCTCATTCATGTTCCAGTGGGGTGGGGTGGGGCGGGATAATAACGTTCATGTTCCTATGCACACACAGGCACAGCAACCTCATCATCTTTCTTGCTGTTGAGCAGAGACAGGCACAGCTCTTTCATGATCAGTTACCGGTGGGGTGGGGTGAGTTAATAAGTTCATGTTCCTATGCCTACACACGCACAGCAACCTCTTCTAACATCACTTGGAGCTACGTTGTTATCTTCTTCTTCAAATTGCAACTACGTTGTTGGCTCTTCTAACATGACTTGCAACTACGTAGCTGCCTCCTCTAACATCACTGGAGCTACGTTGTTATCTTCTTCTTCAAATTGCAAGCCGTCCCGATTTCGACTGGCAGGCGTGGGATAATGACTCGCAGGCACTCGTTGCCGCCCCTATTGTTTTTCTTACAAAACAGAAAAATCTAGCATTTCACCAGCACGAAACGATCCAACAAAACTACCCCATGGAATTGCCACGAAAAAGAGCTTTAAAAAACAATTTGAAGTATGCCAAAACCTCACGTTTGAAACATTTTGTATCAAAGAGCTGATTCACAGATGTCAACGCCGCCACGCGCGGGTTCCGGTCGAGGGGATGATTATGATGACGATGATGATGCTCGAGATGATGATGCTGAAGCTGATTGTGATGATGGTGCTGCCGAAAAGATCTGGATGATGATGATGCTGAAGATGATGCTAATGGTGAGATGATGCAGACATTGGTGATGATGATGATGATGATGACGATGACGATGACGATGATGATGATGATGACGATGATGATGAGAATGCTGATGACGATGAAGAGAAAGATGGTGAAAAGGACGAACAGTCATAAACATGATCATGATTTACATGGGTGTACAAGCGAGTGAAATTTATGTGTACAAGCGAGTGGTCGTCCTAGCAGGGCCTCTTTTATGCTTTTTCTTGGATGGAGAAGAGACACCTTCCTCATCAGTCTCTTCATCTGGCTCTTCATCCTTTTGCTTCTTGCTCTTTCCTCCTTCCTTCCCCTTGCCTGCCTTTGGGGCCATCAGGAAGATGGCCCCTAAAGGGAGGCAAGCCAGCAAACACTGCATCACATGGGGCAGCTGGCGTGCCAAGGCTGGAGTACAGGGCGTGGCAGAAGCCAGCAAAGTGCAGCCAACCAAAGCGATCAGGAAGGATACTTTGATGTTCTGCTTCACGATCAATCCGATCTCTGGTTCATATTCAGCATCCTCATTCTATAGTCCTAAGTATGTGGTCTCATCCCCTACTAAAATATGGTTTGAGGGGATGTTTACAGTAATATGCACGGAGGAAGGGTTTAGTCACGCAATGTCACGCATATATAGATATATACACACTCTTATCATATTGTAAACAGATAGACTACAGATTTATGCGCATCTAAAATCATCTATAAATATCTATAAATACATATTTGCTCTGCAAGTCAATGATCGTAGGTGCAGATATAGTATAATGTTGGTAAAACAATAATAATTCATCCCCAAATTATCCCAAATTTACCATTTTTATGGGTGGTATAAACCCTCAATCCATGGCGGTTTCAACCATACATCCTCCCATCTGCAAGTCTGCAAGGTAGCGAGGCAAGCGAGGCAAGCGAGGCAAGCGAGGCAAGCGAGGCAAGCGAGGCAAGCGAGTTTCAAGTTTCGAGTTCTTAGCTGGGTCCATAGTTAAACCCTAGGGTTAAGAAACGATCATTTGTGTTTTAGGTTCCTTTCAGTTGTTAGCTATTCAGGCTATTGAGCAAAGATGGAAGATCTTCCGTGTGACTCCAGTGTGAGAGCATGTGAAAAGCTTGAAACCACCAGTTATCTTGGGTAAAAAACACACATATCATGTGATAAAGCAATGTTTTTCTTTAAGCAAATAGTAAATCATGAATACTTCCTAGTAATCTTTGAATTGTTGGATCAGCTTGATGAAGCACAAGAGCTACCAATCCCCTGGGGTTACCTGGGGTCAACACTACGTTTGATGGTGTCGTTAAAAGACGAATACTTGGCCTTGGCACTTGTCCATTCTGCATAAATTCTTTGAAACATTTTTTGGTTCACATGTTAACACCTACATACCTATATATAAACCTATAAAAACCTTTATACATCTATATATATATATATGTCTATATATACCTATATATATATATATATACACCTATATATATATACACCTAAATATACCTATATATACCTATATATACCTATATATACCTAAATATACCTATATATACCTATATATACCTATATATACCTATATTTACCTATATATATATATATAAACCAATATATACCTATATACACCTATATATACCTATGTATACCTATGTATACCTATCTATACCTATGTATACCTATGTATACCTATCTATACCTATATATACCTATATATACCCTATATATACCTATATATACCTATAGCCTACATATACCTACAGCCTACATATACCTATATATACCTATATATACCTACATATACCTATATATACCTATAGCCTATATATACCTATATGTACCTATATGTACCTATATCTACCTATATATACCTATATATATATATATTTCATACCTAGAAATGGTCATTGCTAGGTCCGATCCTGCCTCGTGGGGATGCGCTGGTTGCGCAGGATGCGAAGTCGCTTCAGTCGCTTCAGTGGCTGCTGGCGCCTGGCTGGATTGAAAAAAAAGGTGGTGTTTCATACGGAGCTGGCTTATAACTACACTGGTTGGTGGTTTCAATCCCTCGGAAAAATATAAGAGTCAGTTGGGATGATTTTTCCCAATATATGGAAAAATAAAATTCATTTTCCACACCAACCGCCAGTACAGTCGAATGAGTTAAATAATATTGAATCATGTTAATTTTTGTTGAATAATGTTGAAAATGTTAAATGATGTTAAATGATAGTGAATAATGTTAAATAATAATGCTAAGTGATGTTGAATGATGCTGAATGATGTTGAACGATGTTAATTAATGTTAAATGATGTCAAATGACGTTAAATGATGTTAAATGATGTTGAATGATGTTGAATAGTGTTAAATGAAGTTGAATGATGTTGAATGATGTTAAATGATGTTGAATGATGTTAAATTATGTTGAATGATGTTAATAATGTTAAATAATGTTAATTGATGTTGACTGAAAATTCATGATGTTAATTGATGTGGACTGATGTTAAGTTATGTTGAATGATGTTGAACGATGTTGAGTGATGTTCAATGATGTTAAATGATGTTGATTGAGTAATTCATATACCTATATATACCTATATATACCTATATATACCTATATATACCTATATATATATATGTACCTATATATATATATATCCCTATATAAATATATATATACCTATCTATATACCTATATATATATACCTATATATATATATGTATATATATATATATGTATATATATATGTGTATATATATGTATATATACCTATATATATATATATATATACCTATATATATACATATATATACCTATATATATATATATACCTATATATATATATATAGATCATCACTAACAGTGGTCATTGCTAGGTCCGATCCTGCCTCAGGATGCGCTGGCTGCGGATGCGAAGTCGCTTCAGTCGCTTCAGTGGCTGCTGGCGCCTGGATTGAAAAAAAGGTGGTGTTTCATACTGAGTTGGCTTATAACTACACTGTTTGGGTGGTTTCAATCCCTCTGACAAATGATGGAGTTCGTCAGTTGGGATGATGAAATTCCCAACTGTTTCTGGAAAGTCATAAAACTCCATGGTTCCAAACCACCAACCAGTACACTTAAATGATGTTCTCCATGATGTTTTCCATGAGTAATTCATAAACCAACTGATAACTGGGCGTCGCGGCATCACCCAGGCTCTGCGTATCGGGTTGAGCTGGTTGGTGCAATGGCCTGCTGGTTGGTAAATGTTAAGTGCGAAAGTTTCACCATGTTTGACATGGAGCATTTGGAATTCATGTCACAATAGATCCCCATGAAACTGGTGGGCACAACATCAGGTTCAACCACCAATCTCTGGTGTTTTTACCCATTGCTGCTGTCTCAAAACTCCCTTTGTTGCTTCATATCCATTTCGGAATACTTCTAGATACTTTTAACCTTCAATCATTTCACATAGATATGGGAACTCATGATATTTCAATCAACATGATCTACTTTCATGGTGGGTGTTCCATAAATGTGTCAAATTACTAAGCCAAACATGTGTAATATGTATACATATATATATATAACAACATCAGCCTCACTTGGGCTCCCCTGTGGGATTCCCATTTTTGGGGGTCAACATGTGTAATTTTCAAAGAACAAAAACAATAATCAATACATATCAACAACTGATTGATGGTTTTAACCATCTTGAAAAATATGAGTTCGTCAATGGGAAGGATTATCCCATATATCATGGAAAATAAAACATGTTCCAAACCACCAACCAGATATTCTTGTTTTCACCCCAACAAACAAAACAAATCAACCAGAACTTGGATTTGTTGGGGCAATTTTACAGTTGAACCACTTTTTCACCCAGACACATTTTTCTAGGGCGGTTCACCCCCACCTCCTCGCTTTCGACCTCCCGTTGGAGCCATTCTCCCGGGGGCAACGGCACCTGTTGCGCTTGGGACCACGTGGGCCCCGTGGTGATTATCCATTGGTAGCGTGACGATAACATACAAAAACCCATGGATCATAACGCTTATTGCATCTTATTGCAAGTTTGGAAATTGAGGAAACACACCGCGAAAAATAACAAAAACAATTCAAGTCACGTGTCCGCGGGCAAAATATGAGTTGCATTTGAACTGTCCTCAACATGGCCCCCACGACCCCCATCTCACAAGTTGTGTCTCTCTGTGACAGGCAGTGAACCAGTCATGAACATGTCAAACATATAAGTTTGTCCACGGCGCGATATGAGCCGTGGTCCAACTACTTACATGTGGTGTTTTTTATTGATCCCCCGCAGCAATGTATGGTAAAGCCAGCCAAAAACAAACACATATTGACAAATGATGAAAGATGTGTATGCTTTGCTGGAATCAATCGAGAATATAAGAGTGTCTAGAAACAGGTAAATAGGGTATCCAGTATCTACATATTATATAATATTTTTCCGTATAAAGTATAAACAGAGCCACATAATGGGATATGATATATCCCATTTCCGGACACACCCGAAAAATCATCCTTGTTTTATATTTGATTCAAATCCCACTCCCACATTTTATCCTCATTTGTAGCAAGAAACTGAAGAACTACAGTAAACTAACCTCTGGTAAACTAACGTAGCTATTGAAAATTGCCATAGAAATCGTTGATTTGCCGATGAACAATGGTGATTTTCCATAGTTATGTAAACGCTTACCAGAGGGTATCCATCCAAAGTTCTTTTTGAAAGCTGTACCCTACCATCTATCCTATTGCATAGTGGTCGGATGTGGTCGGCTTCCTAATTGTATGCCCATGATACAACCATGTTTTATACTTAGATCCATTATGCCAAATTTAAGACTTAAGACTTATATATCATATCCCAAAACATATGCCCATATTTGGTTGGTCATACAATATAATATATGTAATGTGAATGTATATATATATATATATACACGTATATATCATATCAGTACATATCCCAACTATATTCCATTACCATTACCCGTATCCATTTCCCTGATACATATATAATATTGTATAATCCTATCATACCCTTAATATCCACACCATATTCGCGCCATAGTCCCATGATATTCCCATGAAATTCAATCCAAGGTCATGACCCCCAGTTGCAACTTGGTCAAAATCACCCAATTCACAAAAAAGTCACTTTTTAAACGCCCAAAAATACCGAAAAATCTACTTGTAAACCAACAGACCTATGAGAAATCCGTTTTTTTTTCCCGGGTGAAATCTGTGAAGTCTGCATCAGTTGGATAAATCCATCATAGCTGTCCTTAGCAAACCGCCCTGGGGCCCTGCATCTCCCCGGCCTCGGGTTTCGACTCCACCTCCGGCAAAGGAGCCGTCCCACCAGAAGGCCACGCCTGGAATCGAGAATCGCAGGGGTTTCATGGATGTGAATCCTTCCACAGTTATGGCCATTTATTAGTTATTATATGTTATTATAACTGGCTATTTTGATGGAATTATACATTCTACAAATGGGGTTATAAGTATCACTGGTAAAGGGCCATAACTGCAATGTCAATGGATGTCGTAGGCTTTTGACCAATTTCTTGAAGAACATCGGATTTCCTCCACTTCAATGGTATATTGAGAACAATATTGGGATGAGATTGGGCTTTTCACTACCGATATTTACGTATCACAAAACAACTATAAACAACATACATGTGAAACATGAGAATTCAAAGTAAATGAAAACAACAAACGGAACGTTTGTAAATGTCTAACGGCTTAAATGGAACTTAAATGACCAACTCGGCCTCGTGACCATGTATGCAAATTAATGTAACTTGAACATCATGACTGGTTGGTGGTTTTCACCATCTTGAAAACTATGAGTTCGTCAATGGGAAGGATTATCCCATATATTATGGAAAATAAACAAAGTTTGAAACCACCAGCCAAATAATCATGATGCCAAAAAAACATACTTGACCAACAAGAGATCTGAGACGATCCCTTCCGGAGAATGACAAATTTTGTATTCTTTTGTCGTTTACAAGAACATGATTTCCAGATATTTCCACCAGACTGAGTAATTTCAATCTGGATGCGAAGATTACATAAGATTACCATCTATGATATCTATGTGAGCATCTCATTATACATAAAAGTTGCTGCGCCCCTACGTGACCTGCCCCAGTTAAATGCCTTCGCCTCGCGCATTTCACTGGCCACTTGCCCTAGTTCTTCCTGCGGGGAGAAGCAAAGTGAGCGAATGGAACAGTGCTCCGATCATGATCATTGATTGAAATGACACTGAATATGAACAGTTATGAATGCATCCAAATTCTTCTTGTTTTTGGAACATGTTATTTGGGTTATCTTGAACCTGCAGGCTAGCGCAATCGTTTGCACCACTAAAATGGTCCCAGTCCCTGTTGGGAACCCATCCCCAGAAAAACATATGTCAAGGCATTCCGAGGGATTTTGTTTTTTGTTATAGTTGGTTCTTCCACTCTGAATGGTTCCAAGTATATGTAAATCATTGTAAATCACTGAGCCATGATGATGGTTTCTGGGCGGTTCTTAATATGAACGGGAAAGGGCTTAGTTGGTTCTTCCACTGCCTCTCAAATCATACAGGTAATATGTTCGCAGTTTCCATTAACATTATCTGGTTGGTGGTTTCAATCCCTCTGAAAAATATAAGTTCGTTAGTTGGGATGATGAAATTCCCACTGAATGTCGTAAAATTAAACAAATAACAAAATAACATATGAAACAGCAAATCTGATTGGTGGTTTTAACCATCTTGAAAAATGATGGAGTTCATCAATTTTGGAAGGATCACATCCCGAAAATTTCATGGAAAATAAAACATGTTCCAAACTAACCACCAAGCAGCTATAAAACCATGCAGCTCTTGGGGACCACCCATGGGTTCCGTGTCCGACACCTCCGAAGATCCAGAGTCCAACCCCAAAGCCGCCGCCCAGTGCGCTGCAGGGGCAATGGCCTGGACCGAATTTTTGGCCGGGAAAAGCCCTGAACTAAGTCAACTAAGTGGATAACATACAGAAATACATGGGAAATATATGGGAAATATATGGAAATACATTGGAAGTATATGGAAATACATTGGAAATATCTAGAAAATATATGGAAATACATTGGAAATATATGGGAAATATATGGAAATACATTGGACATATATGGGAACTATATGGAAATACATTGGAAATATATGGGATACATATAAACATACATGGGAAATACATGGAAATACATTGGACATACATGGAAATATATGGGAAATACATTGGAAATACATTGGACATACATGGAAATATATGGGAAATACATTGGAAATACATGGGAATATCTGGGAAATACATTGGAAATACATGGGAAATATATGGGAAATGTATGCAACAATCTCTGTGGGAAATACATAGGATTTTCCTTGATTTGCTAGCCATGTTTGATTAGCAGAAGGTATTTCAACCAATGGTTGATCATAATCTATTTGGGTTAGGGGGACTCCGTTTAAACAAATCTATGTATGAGAAGTTTCAACCAATACTCAACTGATGGTTTGGGCCCGTGGTTTGGAATTGTGCGGGTACCTCATTGTCAAATATGTAGCGTGCATGTCTAAAGTATATACAGAAGGGGGTGCGAGTCAATCCGCACGCTCTACAGGACGAAACCCTGCAGAGGCAACCCCAGGATATGAGCAAAAATCAAACCAATCGTTGACAAATATGTAGCAATCTTGGGAGAAACCGATTCCTGGATTCCGAACCAACAGTTTCACCACTAGGTATAACCATTGGTTGACCAAAATCGCATGGTTTATCATTTCAAAAAAAACATTGCCATATACTGCGGGTATACCCAGTTTCTACATGTTTCTACTAATATGTTTAAAACATCCAGACCTCTTTGAAGGATCATCATCACTATACATACCTGTCAGTGAAATCATGCGAAATCTATGTAACAAAATGAATGGTTGAATTTCGAAGCTCAATGTTTAGATCAAAAACAAAAAATCAGAAGGGGCCAAAAACCAACATTTCATTTTCTTTTGTCATTCCTGCAAATTTTCACCCCAAATCTCAACAAACGTCCCTGGATTTTGTCTGTCCCGCCCCCACCTCGTCTTCACGCGGGGTGATGGAGGCGAAGCAATCCTAACGGACATGTCATCACGTGGGATGATTTGGGGCAATTACAATTAATCACTATCCAAAGTTACTAATTTTTAATGTAAAATTGCAATTTTTGGGGTTTATTCATGGATTTCAGCATCAAACGACACAATTTATATGTTCAGCAAGTGACGATACATGTACATTCAACTTTCAACAGCAAAGTATGGAACCTATGACAAATATTGACAAATATTTGATCGTATTTGTGTGGATATCTACAAGTTGCTGGAAGTTTGTGGCTACGAATATTTTTTGTTCACTTCAAATGCTACAGAACCATTTCGTTGAGGGGATTCCAGAGGTGCTTCTCAAAATGATGTGGGAATTTGTGTTGGGCATAGGTTGCAGGCATGTTCACAACATGGATTAGGGAAAGTGAATTACCATGTGTGCAGTATTTTGCTGGAGGGTTCTGTTGTTTAGTGTTGAGGGTGGGGTGCAAAGCATGCCTGTGCGGATAAAGTAGTGTCAACTACTTAAGTGCCTCAAACAAAGTCCGCATTCACATTGCTGTGAGTACGGTACCTGTTACGAATAAATGTTCGGTTTCATTGCCCAGCAAAAAAACATACAGGGCTAGACACATTTTTTTCAATCAACTGAACGTCTGAAATTTAGAAAGTAGCCGATGACCCAGAAAATACGTCGGCCATGGCAACAAAGCAAACTAGCGTTTCCGATTTGCTTTTCTCTCCGCATCATTGTTGTGGAGACTCCCCTTACACCAAAGTGGTTGTTTTGAATCCTAGCAATAAAATGGGTTCAGATTGGCTGGAAAGATCCAGAAACATTGGCCCATCCAGTGCAATAATCCGAGCGGAGTCTAGGCAAGCCAAGACTGGGCCCCGCGCTTCAATATCCCAGGTGGTTTCATCTGTTTGTGTGTTCCAAAAGTAGAAATCATCCTGCAAAGGCACAGAGGACACCACGCTGGCTGAGCTGGTCACAAGTAAAAAATTGATCACTGGTTCGGGCAGAACTGGCTCACTGAACGTAAACGTTGCCACCCATGCAGACATGTACAACAGGTGAACAGAAACTGCCCGATGGGCAACCTTCAGAATGTTCCAACATCATGCGTATAAAACAACTGCAACTTGGAGTTGCGTAGCCCCCTAGTGGCATGCCACCGGCTCTCTGAGCTTGAAGCTCCACGTGTGCCTAATCTGTAAACCTTTAGCCATGCTTCGGGTTGGTGTTCTCTTTTACAAAAACCTGTTCCGAACTTTGGCCAAACTTCGCCCCTACGCTCTCTTCACACCCGTGTCAACCAACTGCAGGGTCCTCAAACGGCACCTTTACCTGAGAGTTTGGCTGGCGCTTGGAGTGGGTTTCTGTTTCGTGCCCCCAAACCCGAGAGGTTCAAAGCAGTGCTCCAGACCAGCGACCACTTCGTCAATCTGCAGGCCAGTTTCTAGAGGTGGTATAGGTCATGCCACTGATGCAGTTTAAAAAGGAGTGGGCGAAAGGCTATAATATAGGTTGCCTCACATCAAACATATTTTCGGAAAAAACTCTTGGCTAAGTCTGTGTTCTGATTGCAGCATTAGCAGGAAATGTCTCTGGGACTTATACATGTTGGAGACGGAGATTCTTTGTTGGGAAAGGCTCTTGCCGCGATCAAAAAGATCATTGCCAGTCTTGGGTAATTACCCTGCAACACATCAAGATATTGGCTGCTTAGGTTAATGTGTCTCCAAAATTGCAAAAACAAATAGTCTTTAAAATACCAATCCAGCTGGTGACTTATACTGGTCGATGCATCCCAATAAGTTGGCCATGGCTAGTGTGGTAACCATCTTAGTTGGCACAGTTACTAATATGGAATATCCACAACTATACATCAGGTACAGGTGACACAACACCAAGCCTTCTTGGGAAGCACCACCTTTGGCTCCGCTATCTTTCGGGCGAAATCTAAGATACGAGTATGACAAATATTGACAAATTGGATCAGGATCCTTTTGTCTGGATCTCTAACGCTCTTTAAGGCTTCAATCATCAGTATAAATCAGTATCTATTTGGGGTCTGCCCTCTCATTTACCTATTCACAACGGGCAGTTTCCATGGCTATGTCAATATTGTTCCAATTATCCGACGGTAGTTTGGTTTCATTGTCACTCTTTTGGAACCGGAGAATACCATCCTGCTTTTGCATCCTTTTTGGACAAACTGCAAGCTATGTAAACACACATTTCTTGGGTCTGGTGTAATATGATTCTTTTTGGCAAGTCTACTCGATTGTGGCAAACAAAACTACATCCTCTGACATTGTGCCACTTATATCATTGCCGCTATAGAAATCCTCCTCTTTTGAAGAAACATCATTAATGCTCATTGTTCAAGTTTCCTTGGCAAACTCTGCTTGTCTTGTGTGATACACAACATGCCAGGATAATTCTGGGAAACTTGCAACTTGTTGGTCACTAGCTGCTAGCTTATAACCCATTGTGCACCATGTACTCTTGGGGTGAAATCAGCCAGTAGCTACCCAGTTACTATCAGTTATAGCCCAGCCACAATCATTTAAAATTTAAACAACATGAACTACAAAATGAAAACACCCAGGTACTTATCATTGATAATTATTCAAATTTGCAGGTAAATGTACTCCCATTACCTACCATATACCAACTTCGTTCCCACCTCTTCCACACTTTCGCCACCAAGATTGCCCGGGCTCTACTTGTATACACTGTGTATATCTGTGCCATGATTTACTCAAACAAAAACAGGTCAAAAGGGTCCATTAAGATCACCCAATCACAAACCAGCCCCGACTTATCAGTTGGTTTCACCGTTTTATCCATCCAACTGTAGATGTATCCACTCAAAAACTAATGGCTACCCAGCTATTGTAGTTGTGAAATTAGCCACCTACCTACCACCGGGGTCTCCATAAATCGCAATCCTGATTGTGTTGCTGCTGAACAATTCCCCTTTTCTGATTAACAGCAGGTTTTGAGATTTGTTTTGCCTTCATAAAAATATGTGTTTCCTGCCTTAAGCCTCCTATCCTCCTATTCCAACTGGTTCTGGTTTCAAACACGTCGAAGAACCACCGTCTGGCCTGGGCTCCCAAACCCAGGGCTCCGGCACTTCTCGCGTGCTGGGCTTGGGAGTAGCACCTGCCTGGCGCTGATCGGATGGATTTCATGGTGATTTCGCACTCAAAGATGGTGAAAAATCTGGATTGCACCATGGCAAATGGTGCTTTCCTGTGGTTGAATATATGTGAATATCATGGATGTGTCTAACCAACAATAGATGACATCCCGGTTTGTCTGAAAATTGGTAAACCGGGTAGACACGCACACAGAGAGAAAAACCAATGCAATTCTTCATGAGGATTAAACCGACACCTTCTAAAGCGGTCCATTCCAGCGATGAGGGTTTATTGAGTCGAAGATTTACTCACCACCAAGAATCACTAATAAGGGCCTATTAAACATATCTGACTTGTCTAAATGATCTATAGATTTATTGTTTACACAATGACATCTGACTTGTTTAGATAACGTCTACATCTTGCTTGGCTAATAAGATTCAAACAATCGGTGGGATCGAGACACTTCATTCTACAGTTCATCAGTTGTGGAACATAGTGTTTCGTAAGGTGGCGATAGGTTGCAAAAGCGGCCGGTAAGAACAGAATCACTTGATGGTAGTAGATGATACCGGTAGAAGGGACCAAGAAAATGGATGAATAGTTTTCATGATATTTTCATGGGACCAATCCTGTGCACCCGCAGTGGGGGAGTTAAATGAACATCGAACATGAATAATTTTCAGTGCAAAGTCCAGCATTTTCGTGCCATACTCATCGACACAATGTGTAAGAAACATATACAAAAATAAAAAACCTTGAGGTCAAACCATCAAATCAATGTAACAGTTTCCCCCATGCCAGTCAGCATTTTCAAGACTTGCTTACCAATTTTCGATGCTCCGGATATTTTCCGAACTGCACAATGACCTTAGGGACATATATTTATACTTCTATCATTACCCTCTGGTAATTTAACATAGCTATTGAAAATGACCATTTATAGTTGATTTTTCCATTAAAAAATGCCATTTTCAATAGCTATGTTAAATTACCAGAGGGTATATCAGTGACAACAAAACACTGGAAGAGTCCCCCATATGGCCCCGATGGTTTTTCGTGACATTTTCCCAGAAAATGCGGCCTAGGAATCAACACCCCAAAGGCGCCTTCATGGGAGATTCTTGCCTTGCGCCAGATCAACAAACGTTATAGGTGGTATCTCTACCCTCTGGTAATGACTAACATAGCTATTGAAAATAGCCATTTATAGTGGATTGTCCCATTAAAAATGGTGATTTTCAATAGTTATGTTAGTTTACCAGAGGGTATATGGAAGGTTTTTGCGTCAAAAATGGTGAACAAATGTGGTTTAATATCATGAAACATGATGGGTTAATGGGTGATTATTAGTGATGCTTCACGGAGAAAGCAACTGTTTTGAAGGAATATCATGGGACATATGATATAACTAAACAACAACATAGATATCATAGATGATATTCAACAACAACATAGATGATATATTTCACACATACTTGGGATCTTGGCTTTGTTTGAAAAGGAGGAATACACACCAAATGGCAATTTGGAATGCGGTATCGAAATTGGTTGCGGGATCAATTTCCCAAGACTCCAATCCCCATAATATGAAGTACCTCGGTAGACCCTACATGAATAGACTCAGTAGGAAACCATATTTTTTTTGGGGGTGGTATTCAATATGAACGGAGGAAGGGATTCTGACTTGCATGGTGAAAAAAATCCCCACACGGTGGAATTTCCATTGGAAAAACACACCATCACCTGAAGCAAACTCAGGATAACTGGACATTCATGCGGTTGAATCGATGTAGGAAGATCCTGTAGATCATCTCAGGTTGCGGGTCTGACCAATTTTTTGAGTGACACCATAACGATAAAAAACAAGCGGGACAAGTGGGAATTCTGAATCATTCTGAATCATGAAATCCATTGATTCCTGCTGAAAATGTCATCATATTCTCAGAAAAAATATCTTGATAGGATCTTGTTTGTTTTTTGTTTTTTTACCTCTGTTTACCAGCTGGTTTCTCCCGAACTGCTGCTAGTTATATCATGTTATATCCCATAACAGCCCATAACATATCCCCATGAAATATTCCCATGATTGTTGGTTGAATAAGCATGAAATCCCAATTCCAGGATGATATAAAGCACACAAAAACATCGATTGAATTACTACAGAAGCACGGTTATTCCTGGGGATTACCCTGTAAATCTCTTAATAAATCCCTGTAAATCCCCATAAAATACTACATCGCAATTTGTTCAGCATCACAAAAGGCCAACAAAAACGATCTCAGCTCCACCCCTAAGAAAACTCAGGCGACGACTCTGGAGTGTTGCTGCCATCTGGCAGCCTGGTCAGGTTAGGGGAGTCACACAGAAATTGCATCTGGAGATCTTCATTTACCATAAATGGGAGCTTTCATTAAATGGGAATACCGGAATACCCAACAATGGATTGTTTATAATATCTATATATAATGGAACATCCTATTAAAATGGATTATTTGGGGGTACCCCCATGGATTGGAGTTTCCCCAAATCATGTGGATTTAAAAAAATGGGATTTCACGCTGGTTAATGGAATTCCATGGTGGTTTAATCGTCAAGCAATGGGATTTCTCATGGGATTTCATGGGATTTTGCCCACCATTTGTAGATCGTTTTTCCAGAGAAATTACCGGGAAAGCCTACTTAGATGGGCCATGGGATTAGCTCATTGGTTAGTAACTGGGGATATGTTACCCCCAAACAATCCCAATGAAATAATCCATTTACTAAGTAGTTATATAATTAACTCCGTGGCCCATCTTGGAAGGGATGAGGATTTAACATGATTTAACCAAGAACTCAAGGGTGCAATAAACGTAGTCTTAACAAGTGGAGCCTGGATTCAAATGTCACTTACACAAGGCACAACACTCGCATGGCTCAGCCCTTTTCACGCCAAGGCACCCGATCCCTGAGCTGTAAATCGGCAGACACCGCACGACAGGTGTCAAATGGAAAAACATGGATGTCTCAAGTGTCAAATGTCATGTTGATATTGCACTGGTCTATTCTTTTCTTGACCTTGAGACCTCCATGCGTGATTACCTTCACCATCCTCTGCAGTACGTGACTCAACCAAAGTGGCAGTTGGGGATTGCATCCAACGTCTAAACGCATCTCTCAGCTTTGAACACCTCTTGGTGAGTGCGTCGGCATGCTGTTTTTCAGTTGGTACACATCTTAGACCTCGACAAGTCTGTCGCAAATTGGCAATGTCTATCTCTACCCGCTTCTCTGCAAAGGAAGTTGATAAACGATGAACAGCATCAAACAAAGATCTTGCGTCAGTCACTGGAAACATGGAAAGGCGGATGTCCAGATGTTGCACGATAAGTGCCGTCCAACATTTCCCCCATGACACACGCAAGAAAACAAGCAGTATCATTTGCTCGGTCAAGAGATGCTGCTTCTGCCGACAGCGTTGATCTCAACACTCTCTGATGTCGAAAACTGCGCCAATCAATCAAGGTGGCATTTCGTGTCTCTTCGGTGACCTTGTCATCTGTCATCAAAATGACCATACCTCCTTGACTCTTCAGACCAGGCGCATTTGCCCAACCGCTATCACCATAGGCTATGAAGACAAGGTGCTTGGGGTCAAAGTGGTTAATCTTGAGGTAGGTGTTGGGGGTTGCGCGGACATACTTTAGAACCCTGTTCACCTCCCGCAAGTCCTCTACCTTGAGCTCTTTTGGTGCTTTCTGCAGCAAAGATGCGTCTGCTGCCAAATCGCCTCGAGATGTTCCTGCAAGCCATTGGAGACTGCCGATGCCTGACCTGAACTCTGTTATCAAATGTGGGTGGTTTGACAAAGGTTCGTTGGAATCTTCGGTGATCTTCGTCATGCTGATTTCTGGAATGTAGTGAACTTGGTCAATCGTGAAGCCTCCATCTTCGCATCTCTGGATGCGGCGACCTACAAAAACGAAACTGTCCTTCTCCCACTCTGATCCCCATGCAAAACTGTTTCTCACTGGCTCTAGCAAATGCTCATAACCAGGCAGACAGCACATGATGAAATCATCCACGTGCACGCCCAGAAGTGCAGTCACTGTGTCGCCCTGTCTCTGCATCAAGAGACATGGATCAAGTGTGTGCTGCTCCCAACCAAGGTTCGTAAGGACCTTCAGCACGTGCAAAAACCAACGACGTGGCGCGTTGGCTTGGCCATAAACGGGTGCTGTCAGCTGGTACACCAAGTCAGGATTCTGCCATTCTGGTACTGCCTGTCTGGCAATATCGTCCTGAGGTGGACGCATGTATATGCATGTGGGTCTCTCATCATCTGGTTCTCCTTGCAAAAACGCTGATTTGCAGTCTGCGTTGAACAGCGAGACTTTGAAAAGTGCTGCCCATTGCACTACCAAGATCAAACTGCTCTTGGCTAAAACCGGTGCGTCTCGTGACAGCAAAGGAAGATGTGGGTCAGCAAAACCTAAAACCACTACTCTTGCTTTTGGTTTGTACCATCTGCCTCCGTCTTTTGGCTTCCATCGATAACAAACGCGACTTCGCAAGATGAGTTCGTTTGGAATGGCTCCCTTCTTCGCGGAGACCGGTTTGCAGCTTGCCCATTTGACCCATTCCTCCCATTCTTCTGCCATAGCCACAACAAACTTCGGCCTATCCTCTGAAGATATAGCTCTCCAAGGCACTTCACGCTTGAGGGCTTGCTTCACAGCCCGTCCTCCTTCTTCATCCTGAGGTTCACCCTCCTCATCACTGGATTCAGGTCCAGTCAAAGTTTGATTGGTAGGGTGTTGCTGAGTGCTTGTGTTGAAGATGCTGAAGCTGCTGTGGGGCTGCCAGTGTTGTTCACTCCAGGTTGGGTAGTTTCTGCTCTTGTGTTGTTCAGCGTCTGCCTGCACAAGTGGATCACAGCTCGCTGTGATTTCCTTGGCCACATCGCTTACCAGTGTGTGGTAGGCTCTTGAGAAGTCATCACGCTGGAACATAGGAGGCAGTTCTGGGGGGTTGCCGTCCCAGCCAATGATGTATTGGCAGTGTCTGCCGTGCCGTTGCAACCAACGTCTTGTTTTGCGGTCACAAAGTTTGCCGATCTGACGCTGCAAACAACGTCTTGCTTTTCGGTTCAGTTGCTTGGGTGCTGTGTGGCTCGGATCAGTGGACCCGTCCTTGTTGGTTTGGTCGTGTTGACCACTGTGCTCATTGGTGTCATATTGACTGTTGGGTTGGTCGGTTTGACCACTGTGCTCAATTGCAAGGATTTTGCCAATATTGCCAATATTGCCTTGCTCAATCGTGGTGTCAGGTGAAACGTGGATCGGTTCGAACACCTGTTGCCATTGCCAATCGCCTGTGTCTGCATCCTGTACGGCGATGCTCCACAAGCTGTTGTTTTGTTGTTGGCAAGGGGATGGTGTTCCTCGTTGTGCCTTGCCTGTCCCTATGATGTAGCTCTCATTGTCATAGAGCTCGGACAGCTGTTCGTTGGGTGGCAGTGCTATCTCAGACAAGCTGGCAAGGGGCTGTCGCATGTATTGCTTGAAAAAGGGGTGATACCTCACTCGTGAGGAATGCTGCTGCAGGGCTTGTTGCTCCTCAATTTCATCAAACCAGTTATCCACCTGCAGTGGATCCTCCACGAATGTCTCGTGAAGACACCTGGCACATGCCGCTGCTGCTGTTGTGCGGGTTTGCGGGTTGCTAGAGCGTTGTTTGCTGGTGTTGCCACACTGCTGGCAGTAGAGTAGCATTGTTTCTGCTGTGCCTGCCGTCTCTGCTGCCGGCTGCTCTGCTTGCTGTTGCTCTAGAGTCGGTGGTTCTCTTTCGGGTAGTTCTGACTCCTCTGCAGTCCGCTTGGTGCCACGGACAGTTGTTAGTGAAGGTCTTCGGCCATGTTCCCGTGAGGGGCTGAAAACAGTGACAAGTTTGTCAACCGTTTGTGGTAAAGCTTGGGCTGGCTGGTTGAGTTGACGCCAGTCCACACGGTCCTCACGTCTCTCCCAGGTGCTGCCGTCATATGTCCAGCTGGTTCGGTATCTGAACCGGCTGTTGCTGGCATGTTGTGCTGGGGGCAATTTGTATGTGGTAGCTTGCTCGTTCACATATGCTGGCCGACCGTCGGGGTCAAGAAACCATCCTGCGTCCAGGTCGGTGGTTGGTGCTGGAGCTTCACTGGTGTTCGGCAAGGCTGGCGGTGCTGGTTCTATTGTGGTATCTGGTTGTTCTGGCTGGTCTGGTTGTTCTGGCTGGTCTGCCCGTCCCTCGGGGGCACTGTCCTCGATTGCAGCTGGTGGTTGGTCGCTGCGCTGCTCCGGTGCCACTGGAGGTAGTGCTATCATGGCTAGGGGGGCTGGCTGGTTCTCTTCGACTGGTTGACCCATGGCATCAAGGATCATCCGGTCTTCGCCTTGAGTAGGCGCGTCTCCTCTGTGGTCGTAAAAGGGGGTCTGTGGTTGAGCTAAATCCTTCTCTGAAGATTTTAGCATGCTGATATCCTGACTGGAAGGAGTGAACAACTCTTCTCCTTCGATGCCTCGCACCTGCTCTCGTGATGCTTGCACCAGCCTTCCTCTGTTGTTCCTGATCCAAATGGACCCAGTCATACCGGGATCAATCCCGATAATGGTACCCTGCCGGTACCCTTCAGCTGAGCCCTCGCCATCCACTTGGTTCCTCTGTCTGAAATAGGCAACCTTCTGGCCTACATGCAAGGGGCCTCGCCAGGGCCTCGATTTCCTCAGGATGGCCCGGCGGAGATGCTCATTGAACTCAAAATTCAGGTATTCCTGAAGGGCGGCATGTCTTGTCCGCTCTATATGCTGGAGCTTCTCGCTGTCTTCAATGACCTGCTTGGCTTCTATGGCATCTGGTTCTGAGAGAAGTGCTGCTGGGATTTTGTGGTTGCGTCCAAAGACCCATTGAGCGGGACTGGAGCCCGATCTTCGGCAGAGTGTGTTCTTGGCATGTGTTGCCATGCTCGCCAGCAGCTGCATGTCTTCCTTAGACAAGGCGGCAAACTGATTCACCAATCGGCTCAACATGAACTTGATTGCTTGCCCATGTCTCTCACACTTGCCCAACTGATAGTGCGCATCTGGAGGCACAAAGCGCACTCTGATGCCTGATTGAGCACCAAGCTGTTCGAAGTCAAAACCTCGAAAAGCTCCTTCCGCATCAAGAAGGATTTCATCTGGGCATCCAAAGTATTGCAGCCATCCTGTCACAAGGGTGTTCACAATGTTCTGCTCCGTCCTGTCATCAAGATAGGACAACACATGGTACACGGTGCCATCATCCACCTGGCTAAGGAACATGTGCTGATTCTTGGCCACGTCTTTCACATAGATGATGTCCAACATCAAACGATCACCAAACCTCTTGGCCTGATAGGCTTTGGTGGGCCGTGGCTGAGCTGGTGGCCTGGTGCGATTGCAGGTGGCACACCTCAGGTGTTTGGCACCCATCAGCGCTTGTCCTGAAGCGCCGGCTTGTGCTAGATGTCGCACAAGAGCTGCACTAGTTGGATGGCCCAAATTAACATGGAGCCGTCGCAGAACACTCTGCACCCACATGGGTACTGCAGATTCGGGAACATTAAAGGTGATGTCTCGATTTCCCGGGAGGTGTTCAGGCCAAACATCTGCTGACGGCAGTTCTGATGTGTCTGGTGCTGTTGTGGCCTGCTCTCGGCCTGGTCGTGGGGTTCTGGGCGCTCGGCCCGGTGTGCTGGGGGCAACTGCCTGTTGGGGTGTTTTGGGTGTTCTGCCTGGTGTTTTGGGAGCTGCCGCTCTAGGGGTAGAGGGCACTGCTCGGGGGGCTGCTTCGGCTATCTGGTCGTCCTCTGGATTGTAGGTTGTTGCAGGTGCCTCACCGTAGATGAAGATACCGTAGGCAACCGGCGATTCAAACTTGGCGCCAGGATTCCGAGATATCTTGTCCACGGCCTCTGTTTCAATCTGGATCTGACCATCAGCTAACCGAAGAATTGCTGCCCTGTGAGACACTGGTTGTTGAAGAAGCAAGTTGAGAGGCAACCTCCTCACCTTTGGCGCCCGCACTATCTGAACAAGGTGCATGCGCCACGGACACAAATGTTGGATCTGCTCACGAAATGCTGAAGGCTTCACCGTGGCTGTGGTCTGCACTTTGTTATGCAGTCTCTTCTCAGCTTCGCCTAAAAGAGGTCGCCACGATTCTTCGTTGCGATTGACATCCAAATAAAAAATGGTGAATGCTTGCTCTTCTTCCAAACCAGGTGGTGACCAATGCACTGCCCACACTTCTGAGTTGTTGGTGGTGTGATGCTGTCCTGACAGCCACGTAAAGGGTCCTCCATCTACTGGTTGATTGAACCTCTCGTCACCATCAGCTTGCAAAGACTGCCGCAAGCCAGAAACAACAGCTCGGGCTAGTGCTGGTGTGTATACCTGACCGCGTCGTGCATTGTCACCGAGGCAGGCTTCATGTTCGTGATCACCCTGGCACGGTCGACAAACCTGACTCAAAACCAAAGGCAAGTCACTCAGCCAGCCGGTGTCCTTCTTCAAAAACTGTGAGTTTCGCCCTCTCAAACCAAAACTGCACATGGAACCCTTCTGCAAATCAGCTCCATCAATTTCTCGGATCCTCTGAATCTCAGGGTGTTCCCAGAAAGGTGTGCCCCAGGGGTTCTCAATGAGGAAGTGCGTTCCGACTTGGTCACGCAAGGTCAAAATTGTTTTCCTCATCTCTTCAAGAGGAACATTCTGGGTGGCCCTGAGCTGTCGTAACTCCTCTTGGTTGTAGTTCAAATGTTGAATGTTTGACCATGGATCGCATCTCAGCTCCCACACAATCAGGTAAGGGCGCCGCCTTAAAAGCAAATGGCGCAGCCGCTCATGATCTTGTCGTGTGGTGAGATCAATACCATGAACTCGATCAACTGGTTGCACTGCTCTCAAACCGGCACGGAGTGCCTCCGCAGTGATATTGGCAAAACCACCATAGACCTCTACAATGTCACACAAAAACTGCCGGCGAAACTTGTTGGCCTGCACGGTTCGTGTTATGTAGATCTCCTGCTCGACAGAGAGCAGGCTGTTGATGGCTTTGGTGTTTCCAAGAAAGCGCTTTTTCTGCCCTGCACGGAGCAACTGAAGTCCTCGATCTTCTTGAGTTGGAGGCGTGTCAGCGGAGAAGCCAGTGATAGGCATTGGGCTCGTTTGATGTGATGATAGACTTGGACTGCGGTCCGCGCGTGAACAAGAATCAGTTCTTGCGCTTGGCTGAGGCTCTGCCATGAAATCCTCAGATGAAGGGATCAATGGCCCTCCTCTCTTTCCTCCAACTCGTCGTAGTTGGTCATGTCGTAGTTGGGGTTGTACGAGTCCTCGCCGTAGAGATCGTCCTCGTCCAAGCCCGTCTGATTCACTCCAAAGAAGCTCTCCTCCATCTCTTGATAGCCCTCCGGCAGCTCGTAGTTCGTCCATGAGCCCGGATGCTGGCTGCTGCGGGCACTCTGCACGCTCATCCGATCGTCTTGGTCCAAGTGAAAGACCCTTGATGTCGGCCTCATCTTCGGAGCCGTCGTCGATGGTGAGATCGTAGAGCTCCGGTGCATGGTTTGCTTGGGCATTGTGGATGGCCGTTCCTGCTGCAAGCGCGATGGTGCTGAGCCAGCCGATGAAGCGACCGATCGTGGTCCGCTTCCTGGGGTGGCCTTGGTTTTGGCCTTGGCCGGAATGCCGCTGCTGGCTGGGATGCCCAAGGGTGTTTTGGCATTGGGTGCGGCCTTCGGCATGATGGGAATCAGCTCCTGGTCTGTTGGATGAAGAACCCATCGTGCTCCGCACTGGTCGCAAATGTTGATGCGGTGACCGGCTGCCCCATACTGTCGTAGGCCCATCTCGTGTTGGCATGTTGTCGGATCTTGAGGATAATTGGTTTGCTGGGCCATGTTTCGGAGCTGCAGCGCCGAAGTTGTCGCCAGCATGGTAGTGGCTGTCTGCCGAGGAAACCAAATCCGCAGGATCCTGTCTTTCAAATTGGGCCTCATGCCGGTGGTGGCATAGAGAATCACCATCTGCTGGATGCTGCGGAGAAACTCCAGCAGGTTGGTCATCAAAAGTCGCCAGTTGGTCAGCCATCCAGGAAATCCTCGATGGTCCATTGGAGACTGGCGGTTGTCTCGCAGGTTCTGATGCTCTGGCAAGCGAAGCTGGCTTGAGCGAGGCGGCAAAAGGCAGCCACACATCAGAACACGGTGTTGTTGGTGGTCGCAATGGCCACTCAAAAGGTTCAGATGGCCATTGATCAATACGAATAGCTAAATGTCCACACTTTGGCAAAAACAAAGGTGCTGATGTTTTCAAAGCTGTATAATGCATCTCGCCTCTTACCAAATCAGGCACTGCTCCCAGCGCTTCGAAGGCTGGTCTAGAAAATAAAGCTGGTGCTTTCTCATCCACACTGCTCACTCCCAAAACAACCAAGTGCCCCGCCAGTCCTGATGGGTAGACGTAGCGCGAGCTGCTGGGCACGCCTGCATTGGGACCAAATGAAAACTTGCAGTGCTCATCGTGGATGACAGGTTGAAGTGGTGCTATCTCTTGTGCTCGCTGCATGTGCCATGATTGACCTGCAACCTGTCTCTGACAACCTGTATCTGCTATCATCAAGGCAGCATCAGCATCTACATACTGAAGAAGAACTTTAGGATTGGTGATGATGCCCTGGGAATACTCAAAGGGTTGATCACAATGACAACGGCTTATCTGCTCAGTCACGGCGGTCAAACTGGGCAGCACGAAGGTCTCTTTTGTCTCACTCGCAGAAGTCATCCAGCTCGTGGTGCTATCTATGGCGCTCCCTTGAGCGTCTAGCAACACGCCAGCAGTAGTAAGCTGAGCTGAATGGACACTGGCATGTGGGCAGTCGCGCAGCCAATGGCTGGAAGATCCGCATCCTAGACAAGTGGCATCACGAATGCGGGCTTGTTGAACTTCCAAGTTCGCTCTAGTCGGGGTAGGACTCGGCTTGCCGGTCCCCTTGCCCTTGCTCTTGTTCTTGCCCTTGTTACCTTTCTTTCCACCAAAATGGTCTGACTTGCTCTTGCCAGTGAACTTACCAGCTGCTTTGCCCTTGCCCTTGCCTTTGGCATTGACATTGTAAAAACCTCTGGCCTTGGTGATCTCTGACAAACGCTTGGACATCACTGTCAAAGCTTGCACGGCAGCTTGAAACGCTTCGTCTGGAAAACCTTGATGGCTCTCGTAGTCGTTGTTGGCATCACCTTCATCAGGGTTGCCATCTTCATTTTCAGCAGCCTGGTCATACTCAACGTCCTGGTACTCTGGCTCGTCAGTCTCCTGGTGCTCTTGATTCTCAGGAGCGGGCTCATCCTCATTCACATAGGCCGCATCATCCTCATAGCTCCAGTCTTCGACATCAGCATGCCAGGCGCGCCGATGCTTGGGCTTGCCTGACTTCCTGGACTGGTACTGTTGAGAACGATGAGGAACCCCGGTAATGCTCATACCTGGCGGGTACTGAATCTTGATGGCATCCATAACGGCGGCCATCTTGTATCTGTTGCCCGCAGCCAGAAGGAGGGCGGCGGTGGACTTCTCGTCAAGTCGCAGGCCGTCCAACAACTTGATGACTCTGGCTGCTTCAGGATATGCTGGCACCTTGTTGTCCTGGAGTTTTCGCTCCAGAATGCGAAAGCGACGGCAAAATGCCGTGATGCTTTCACCTTGCAAACGTCCTATTGACTCAAACTCGCGGATTGCTCCGCCTTGTCTGAACAACTCCTTCTCCGCAAACGACTCTTGCAAGTCTTCCAGCAGCAACTGGATGCCGTCTGTGGTGTCATATCTGGAGTCCGGTGTTTCTTCAAGTTCAATTTCGGCATCACCTCTCATTTGCTCCCTTGCCCTTAAAGCTTGCTCATTGGGTGGCAAAAACTCTCTGGTGATTCGCACCCAGCGGTAAAGGCGCTTGGTGTAGTGACGCAGGCAGTAGGGATTGGAGTCGATGTCACCATCAAACGTTGGTGCTGGTGGAACTTGTCCAGAACGCCATTTGTGGCTGGTTGCTGTCTGAGTTGGCGTGCGGCCGCCTCGTCCTCGACTACCTCGGCTTCGCCGACTAGGAGTACCTTGAGGTGACAACGTTCCCGCTTGCACACCGTTTGATCTTCTAGAAGGAGGTCTTTGTGAAAAACTCATAGGTGGGGTCACTGAGTTAGATGCTACATCGGCATCATCTTCAGACATCTCATCCTCATCATCATACTGAGGGGAGCTCCTAGCTTCACCCAGAGACTCTGCGCTCTCGTCCTCTGAAGGACCATCAACTGGTAGATCATCATCAAAGAAAGGAGCAGCAGACATGGTGCGCCTTGAAGGACACTTCCAGCAGTCGCTACCAATGCAATAAACGTAGTCTTAACAAGTGGAGCCTGGATTCAAATGTCACTTACACAAGGCACAACACTCGCATGGCTCAGCCCTTTTCACGCCAAGGCACCCGATCCCTGAGCTGTAAATCGGCAGACACCGCACGACAGGTGTCAAATGGAAAAACATGGATGTCTCAAGTGTCAAATGTCATGTTGATATTGCAAAGGGATGAAAAAAACACCAACGTGTCTGATGCTGATGTTGGCATTGGGATATTGTTTGACATTATAGTATTTTCTGGATAAATGATGACTTCACCAAACTGAAAACTTTGGCCACTCCTCTTCCGTTTCCCCGGCCCATGCCCCGCGAGCAGACATGAAGCGGTCACTGAAAACTTTGGTCATATTGGGATAGTTAACCCAATCCTAACAATCATTGGGCTCAAGGTGAGGTCGTTACAGTATCTAGACGGCGTGCCTGAAAGTTATTTAACATGATAAACACTGCGGTATTCCTGGTTGCTTTTATCTGACTTTACGGGATGTGTTACCAGGGTGTGTTTGACAATTGGGTACTTCAAACTTATTGTTATTTTGACAGACACATATCGGAACATGGCAACAAATCATGATGAACCAGCATTCTTGGAGGCACTCTATCCTCACACAAACCCACATCTAATCGATGGGTCCCTGGTAAAAAAATCATCCGATTGGGTTGCGAAAAAATCCAACGTAAAACTTGTTTTTTACCATCACGGTCGAGAGGTAAGCACTCTCAAAAGCCCGCCAATTCTTCAAATTGCCCATACACATATGATATCACTAATTGTAGATGGCCGTGGCTTTCATTGATATACCACCAGCCCCTGACATCCACTTTGCTGCCGAGGCCTATTGGGGTTTTCGTTTCCGTCCATTTCAGGGGTCAAACTGGAATAATAATTATTGCTGTTTATCGGTGCTTTATCGAAACATAGGGGTACCCCCAAATGCACAAAACAGCTTGGACCGACGCCGTCCCAATGGTGGATCCGAAAGTCACCGTTGCTTCAATACGAATTCGGGTGGTCATCGCTACCCATTTTTGAAGTTTCCTCCCTATATTAGAACCTCATTTTTTTCCAAAATCGGAACTTTTCCCCATGAACATCTCAATCTTTCGAGATGTCCCCCTGAACATCTCGCCTCTCCAACGTGTCTGCTACGGCACCTGAAGTCGAGATCTGGCCCGATAATTCACCGGTGGTTTCTTGGCAAGTCCCCACATGGTGACCAAAAACATGGAAGTTTTTTTTACATCATCCGCAAAGCAAGTCGAAGAACATATTGAGTCCTTAAACCTATGTATCTATGTATGTATGTATGTATGTACGCATGTATGTATGTATGTATGTACGCATGTATGTATGTATGTATGTATGTATGTATCTATCTATGTATCTATGTATCTATGTATCTATGTATCTATGTATGTATGTATGTATGCATGCATGCATGCATGCATGTGCATGTATGCATGTATGCATGTATGCATGTATGCATGTATGCATGTATGCATGTATGCATGTATGCATGTATGCATGTATGCATGTATGCATGTATGCGTGTATGCATGTATGCATGTATGCATGTATGCATGTATGTATTTATGTATGCATGTATGCATGTATGCATGCATGCATGCATGCATGTAATATGCTGATTTTATTGGAACAAACATCTAGTCACTAACCTGAAAAATCGTGATTTGGGGTTGATCTTCCTTTGGGGAAGAAGATGCGTCGATGGATTGCCGGGAAGTGGCAAAACCTAAAAAGAACGCAGTGTTCATACGTTAGGTGAGGCCCCCCCCAACGTTATGTGTCTTGGATTATAAAGCCAATTATCTATGTAAATTCGATGGTTATATCTACCATAGACCAAAATGATATAACCAACTGAGTTACTATCAACTAGTTCGTTAAATCGCCCTGATCAAGCTTAAAATGTCGTCAACGCTAGAATCACCTCAGCCAGGAACATGTTTTACCCCATGGGATGCAGATAGAGCTCCACCACACCGTGGAGCTTGCCCAGTGAGGATGTTCCAATAGATACAGATACCATAAATGTGTCACCCACAGTTATAAATGGGTTATAAATGGGTTATAATCCCATTAACTATAGATATATATATATATATATATATCACCAATCAACCATAGTTATTGGACTTATTGGCACCAACTCAGCTGACTATGGGACCAGTGGGACACCAGCCTGAATAAGTTAAGATCCAACAAAAGTGGTGCCCCAAAAGTTATTTTTGTCATTGTTTGTCCACCAAACGACCCATATACTCATATACCCATCATAAAATCCTGTGGTTAGTCACTGTTAGTCTGGTTGGTTATCCAACATACCTATCACTCCCTGCAGGGTCTATTTTAGGCTTAGCTCGCTGGCAGGGGCGTAATAAGCTGATCTCCTAGATGCAGTGAAGGGTGATCGTTGTCATTGTAGCTACCCTGGGGCAAACAAAAAGATGTGTAAAACCTATGGAGAAAAGCCTGGGAAACTGATCTAGAATAGTCTAGAATCTAGAAATGCTGGCTTGTTCGCAACACACAGCTCATCTACTACAGAAATCAAACCACTTTGGTCCCAAACAAAGCAAATCTCGACAGGCTGATCTCAGATGGGGGCTCACTTGAGCAAGGCTGCGCCAGCAATCAATACGCTTCAAGTGGTTCAATCACGAATACAATTTCCTTCAGGCCCAACAGCTGCTCCAGCCCGGATCATGGTCACTACAGATCGTCACCAAGAATGCCGCAAGATGCACATGGCCGCAACATTCAATCCCTTTGGCCATCAGCTCCAAACAGAGCTCTGCTTCAAGATCATTGCATTACCAGGAGTTTGCCCAGGGTATTTATTGATCTATTTACCATCCCTCCAAACGGGGAGTGGAAGACACCTTTCCTCCAAACATTGCTACTTCTCGGGGCCTATGTTTCTTTGGGGGCTGGTATCTATGTACTTCCTCCGAGAAGAAAGACAAAACACTTTTTGGGGAAGCGCAACCACAATGTCACCATCAACATTTGGTGATCTTGAAGGCTCCCAAAAATATTAACCATCTCCATATCGCCGTAACAAAAATGCCCAATGGACGACATTATCAATATTGTAAGATAAGGTAAATATAGGCACAGATAGAGGGCAAGACAGAGAAGAGAAGACAAGGCGAGGCACGACAAGATAACTAAAAGACAAATTAATCCATATTAGGATAATATAACATTTAGGACACATAACAGATAATAACATAGGATAAAATGACAAAAGACAAGATCAACTAAGGAAAGGTAAAATAAGTTTCGATAGAAAGACAGACACATAATCATATATGATATGTCCAAATACAAATATAATCATATATGTACATACACGTATCATTTGTTTGCTAAATCCCCAGGAAATGTTGGTTGTATGCAATTAAAAACCCATAAAAAAGAACATGCTTTTTCCAAAGCACCGGCATGGGGGTGTTCAGCGCTAGTCTTCAGCAAGGCGCCAAAGGTAGGCACCATCTCCTTGTCCGCGGCGAGGCTCTTGGGCGTCTCGCTGCCTGACTGACGTGGACAGCAAGGTGATCCAAAGTTGCTGAATAATGTATATGTATATATATATTTAATATACGTACACATATAATAATATATGTACATACACGTATCATTTGTTTGCTAAATCCCCAGGAAATGTTGGTTGTATGCAATTAAAAACCCATAAAAAAGAACATGTTTTTTCCAAAGCACCGGCATGGGGGTGTTCAGCACTAGTCTTCAGCAAGGCGCCAAAGGCAGGCACCATTTCCTTGTCCGCGGCGAGGGTCTTGGGCGTCTCGCCGCCTGACAGACGTGGACAGCAAGGTGATCCAAAGTTGCTGAATAATATATATATATATATACACATAATATACGTACACATATAATAATATATGTACATACACGTATCATTTGTTTGCTAAATCCCCAGGAAATGTTGGTTGTATGCAATTAAAAACCCATAAAAAAGAACATGTGTTTTTCCAAAGCGCCGGCATGGGGGTGTTCAGCGCTAGTCTTCAGCAAGACGCCAAAGGCAGGCACCATCTCCTTGTCCGCGGCGAGGGTCTTGGGCGTCTCGCCGCCTGACAGACGTGGGTTGGGGGGCACTACCAGCCACAGGGAAAGGGGGAAAATGTCATATGGGGGCAGTAGATGGAAGCATGCAAAGACGTAACATGGGTTGGGGGGTCCACAACATATATATATATATAACGGAAAATACTGTGTATATATATATATACATGTATATATATATATACACATATACAACATGTGGATATAAATATATATATATATAAATTATATGTCGTATATAAAGCATATACTATATGTACCTAACACTACTAAATATTACATAGAGAAAACCTAACACTACATACCTGACACTACACACCTAATAGATACCTTGTATATATAATCTAATGCATACCTAAATGTACTACCCATTGCATGCCTATATACCTATATACCTACATTATATACAACCGTATGTAATTCCCAATACTATATACTATACACCTAAAATCTTTTGACTACCAATTTACATAAGTACCACCCCCCCACCACTACAGCCATTACTACAGGGGAGGAGGGGGGTATACCACCCCCCATAATAGTGATCCATAATTAATCACCTAACCTTGTACATAAATCACCTAACTTTGTAAAACATATATCACCTAATATGTACGTGTATATATATATAGAATAGAAACTCATGGTGAAACCATATATGTATATATCCATATGACTTCAAATATTTTCTGAGATTGTATTTTGGGTTGGCTTTTGGGGTCCAAACAAAGGAAACCAAAAGATATACTGGAGCAATAGGATACAGCAACTGGGTCTTGTGGATGGTTTAACCAACAAAATATGGATACAATGGGATATA